GCAGAAAAGCTGGACAATGTCAGCATGGGCTGTCTTGGCGGACTGCGCCTGCCCTGTAGTTGAAGACATTCAAGGGTTCGGGGCGAGCTTACAGCGTAGCGACAAAAGACAGTCATGGTGGCTGACAGGATGGACCCTACGGTCGCTGTGCTATTTATGTCTGTTGGAAGGGCAGGGAGACGGGGGTCTGGTCTGACTCGAGGCGGATCAAGATGCCAGATGGTGGTGATGTTGACAGCGATCGGTCGGATTGCTACGGAAACATGGGGTTGAATGTGAGGAAGGCGTTGCTTTATTGACAAGTTGATGAGATTGGCAGTCGGCCCAAGGTCGTTTCAGAACGTTGGCAAGGTGCCCAAGTTGGCTGCTGACTATGAAGGCTGACGCTTGTGTGGACAATCGGTTCAAGCTGTCCAAGGCGCAGCATCTGTTGTAGTGACAGCGCAATAGGATTTCCGTCGAGGTGCGAGGATCGCGCCGGCGAGCGCAGAAGCTCTCTGGAGGATAGCGCAGGTAAGGGTCACGAAGGATATGATTCGGTGGGGATTGGATATGGTCGTTTTGGGTGCGTGGTCGTGCGTGAGGTGGACGGTTGTATAAGAGTGCTTTTTCGCTGTGATGGTGCTCGTCTCGTCACAAAAATTCCAGGTGGACGCCCGGGCCGGATGTAAGTAGATGGAGGGGCAGTGAAAATGGCACCTCAGGCTTTGGGAAACGGGGAAATAGGCTTAGGCTTAGGCTAGGCTGCCTCCACTGAGGGGAAGCTCGAGCGGGCGTGGAGGAATGAGTAGTCCTCGAAAGGAAGGGGAGTCGTGGGCGGCTGGAGCCAGAGGCGGAAAAGTGTACAGGGAAGTTGGGAACAGGAGCAGGGTTCCGGCTTGGTGTGGCGGGACCCTACGTAATGGGCCGGAGCTTGTCTCACAGGGCGTCGTAGGTTGTGCTTTTTTCTCTGCTGAAGGGCTGAGGCTAGCTGAAAGGCAGCTGTTGAGATCAACGGGACGGCGTTGCGCTATCTGTGATGCTTTTATGACACGTTGCGATGCGATCGATGGCTGATGGCTGATGGGCGAAGGCGATGTTTTGCATGCCCGGGACGTTTCTGCCTTGACTAGGAGTGGTATCACAGGCCGACGCACGACGAGGCCCAGGACCGGGCCAGCGTGTCCGGATCGTCGGTTTTTCTTGCCTCTTCTCTGCAATGGGTGGTTTGCAACGCCAATGGCATATCACCAATTGAGGTTGCGGGATTTGATCCAATAGCACACAGCAGAGCAGTAGAGAGGCAGGGCAGATGTGGTGATCGACGGCGGCAGCACCCGACGGTGTTGACTCCGGTTTTGGCCTGGGACACACCAGGAGGTTTTGGTCCGACAGGCAGGCCAGCAGGAAATCAAGGAACGGAACCGAGAGGAAGGCAAGCTAGCTGTGGAGAATAGGAACAGGCAAATGATGTGTTGGTCGAGATCTCGAGTCTCCCTGAGTTTGAACCTTCAAAAGTAGGGAGATGCGGGAAAGAAGGGAGTGGCATGATCAACGCGTGGCTGTTTAGCTGGGCCTTTCCATCTTTTTGAAGGGCGGCCTAGGTTGGCAGGCGTTGGAGGAAGCGGCTGCCATGAGCATCCATGGTGTCAGCTTCCTCCTCACCACCAGCATGTCTTCACTTTCCCGAGTTATTATTGCAGTTGAGGCACCGTGGCTGCTTCCCCCCTCATAAGGGGTGGGTGGTGAGGAAACCTCCAAAACGGCAGTTACCTATCTAGGTACTGCCCTCCTTCAGGTGTCCCGCATCCCAAAACCTGCTGAGACCCTCTGAGAAACTTCAGCCCAATGGCCTTAGCATGTACCTGGACTTGACCATATAGAAACATCAACAGGCACGCCACACCATCAAACGCCGGTCAAAGCTTGGTCTTCGCTGTCAGCACTCGGGGTTCAACAGCCGTATCAGCTCCACTGAAGATCGGCGACGCTGCTTTACTCTGGCTGCTGCTTTCTGTACGTCTTTGGATGTGTCTCTGGCGTCTCTCGTCGTGTCGCCATATCATGTCACCACGACCGCAAACTGGTGCACCTCCACCAACGAGATCCTCCTCCGTAATCGATGCCACGGGATTGAAGCTCCGCTGCATCATGCCCTCGTTCATCGACAAGCACTTTCCCATGGATCTCGTCTTGTCATAAATGACAGAAGTTTACGCAGCCTGACGGGCAAAAATGACAGAAGCGTGCTCACTCCGTGTCTCTTACGTCCAGACACTGTTGGTGCATCAAAGCCGTTCGTTCGTTGTTGGACCCAATCGACAGAAAGCCACGAGGCAAGACATGCCATTCCAGTAGACACGCGGGTCTAGGCCTTGTCTGCGACGTAAGAGGTCCAACAAGCCACTCCATCGACCGTGATCTCCGTATTGGTTCGCATTTCCCGCCACAACGTTCGCCGTCGCCGATCCCCACGACTTGAGGCACCAGCATCGAGTGTCCCAGGCAACTGGCAAACGTTTGTTTCGGGTGGCATCGGCCACACCTCGCTGTCCCTTGATCGCCAGCCACTGGGGCCGCGTCGTGGTTGTGTTGCATTGGGTTCCGACCTGCAGCGCCGCAGACCTCTCTCTGCCTCCCTATTCCCGTCCTACCACTGTGCCATTGGTGGCTCACTGGCTCCCGAGCCGCGAGTGGTCGCCGTCGTTCGCTCGAACTGCCATGCTGTTCGAGCTTCACAAGCTTCTCTTAGCTCGCCTTCCAGGCTGTCAAGGCCACACACATTTGCCCCTGCAGAGTCTCTGCAGAAGCAGGTATTCGCGCGCGTCCACCTGCGTCTGGCCGAGATTGGCGGGGTTGCGCCATGCGTACAGCCCCGGCACCTTCGGCCCAGCCTTCCCACGCCATCAATGATCAGTGCACCGAAGTGGCCCAAGAATGGGCGTGTAGATGCTGCATTGGGCGTCTTGTGGGAGGGAAAAAAGAGCTGACCTGGCGACCAGCTGTTGGCTGGGCCTAATTTAGCACCGACACCGTCAAGCGTTGGTTTCATTCAGGCATGGCGGCGATGGGGTCGCTTGCGACGCAACTACCGCTACGTGTTTGTCCGTTCGACTGCATCATATGTAACCTGACGAAACGAAGACGAGGCTCACGATGCGGGGTATGATGTATCGGTCTGTCCATTGGGTCGGACTAATTTGCTTGTTGGCAGCACGAGTTTCTTCTCATCAACGGACTAAGAACGCGCCTCTACCAGATGCGAGCACGTCGCCATTGGTCTACGAGTCACAAGATTTTACCTACGCAATCCAACCACGATCCTACCTGATAATCCGTCAACGGACGCCGCAGCCGTTTTCGTCAGATATCTAAAAAGAGCATGACTGGTTTTGTCGGCCTCTACTCTCCTTCCTCCCGAAAGAACGCCGGCAGCTGGACATGTCGAGTGGCTGATACGGTCGTGTGTTTGCCGCCTAATATCACGACTCAACATCACTTGCTGGCCGAATATCCCTCTTGGGCCCCAGCCCAATCTTACAACTCAAAATGCCCGAGAGCACAGTGAGCCATATAACTCATAGGGCAAGCTCGTCGTCCAGTCGAAGTGCCGCATCTCACCCCGTGGTCCAACAGCTGCCCAGTTGCTGCCGAGATGGTCGCCCCTCTGTGATATCAAGAGGTTCCATCCAGCCCCGCCAGCTTCGGGTCGGTCGCCCGTATCCCAGGCGCCAAATGTACTACGTTCACGGGCAAGACGTCGCCTTGCTATCACGAAATATCCCTCTCCTGATTGAACGATGTCGCATCGCCCAAAGAAGCCCCGTTTTTCCCCGAGCGCGGTTCCTGGAGATGTCAACAGCCTAAATCAGCCCCCAGGATCTTCCACCACCCACCGAAAGGACGATGCCATCACCACAGCTGTACCTTGACTCGCCACAAGAACAAACATCACGACCGACCCCTCCACCCCTTCTCCCAATGCTGCGCGATTTCACGTTACGCCATTTCGCGCCTGGTCACTCTTGTGCAACCACCAGCGAAATCTGACTCATTTTCTTTTTCTCGGCTCCTTCATCTCCTCGTCCCAAGCAGCCATCGCCGGTCGTCGCTACGTCGACCACGATCATCTTTCCGGCTTCGCTCTGACTTATTTCCCCTTGACCCTTGCGACCAGGCGCCACTCCCACCAAGTACCCTTGGCCCTTGACCGTCCTCCCTCCCCCCCCAGCCGCGACAGCCCTGTCATTTCGTGCGGCCCGACCCCGTAGTCTCTCCGCCTGCCCGGCGCAACTTTGTGATGGCCATGCAGCAGCAATCTGTCTTTCGCCCGTTTCACATGCCAGGCTCTCCCCCTTAACGAAGAATGAGGCCAAGTAAAGAAACTGGAGGCCTCGTTCCATGCGCCGTCAGGGTTGCTGCACGTCCTCGCTCGCCTGGACGACCTACATACATATGTGCATGCAGAGACCCCGGCCTAGAACCGCTGACACTGCTGGTTTATGTCTATTGGTGGGTGCTCGCGGTGCGTACTCGTGTGTTTTGTCGCCGTACCGTCTGGTGTCACTCCGGACCTGCTGATAATATTTTGTCTGATTCAAACCGCCTTGAGAGAAAACATAGTTCGTCTCCATGGGGCAGCGCTTCGTTGTCTGGCAGCCGACTGGCCAGCCCGGAACGGAGGATTTGATGCAACAGCGTCAAGGGGGTATATTTTGCCGTAAAATGGAGAGCCGAGGCCACGCGGGAGTGATACCCTGCCCAATCGTCTAGTTACACCATAGCCGAACCGCCTTGTCCTTTCCGCCGCTGCCGACCTTCTTGCCGTCGGGCGCCCAGTCCTGGGGAGTTGTTAGTCAAAGATGTTTGGCAGCAGTTTTAGGCGAGGCCACGCAGGGTGAGGTCCTTACCACTGCATAAACCTCGTCTTGGTGACCGGGAAGGTCACGGACGAGCTTAAAGGTAGACATGGACCACACCTTGAGGGTGGTGTCTCGGGAGCAGGTGACGAGGAGGCGCGAGTCCGCGGAGAAGGCACTGCAGTTGGGGTCAGAATTTCTGATCAAGAATGTTATGAAGAGTGCAGGCACTGACACTTGGAAAACGGGCCCGACGTGGCCACGCAGAGTGGCCAAAAACCTGCCGTCCCGAGCGGCCCAGATCTTGATGTGGTTGTCCCAGCCCGCCGAAGCAACGAGGTTTCCGTCTGGCGAGAAAGTGACCTTGGACATGCAATTAGTATCAAGCGAATCTAGCGCCGTGTTAACAGAGGCCTCTCGCTACTCACATGGTTCACCTGCTTCTGGTGGCCGTTCATCTTGGCCACGGGCTTGGTGCCCTGCGACGGCGAGTGGAGGTAGAGCAGGAAGTCGTCGGACGCCGAGATGAAGCGCTCGTCAATCTTGCCCTGGACCTTGGCCACCTTTTCAAACCGCTCCTTCGCCTTGGCCCTCTTGCCCTCGTCGGTGTCGGGAACGGGCGTGTGGTCGAAGAAGCCCGTCCGCAGCACGTGGTCCGTCGACAGCGCAATGTGGTTGACCCAGTGCGCGTGCGCCGTGAACGTCTGGACGAGCGTGCCCTTGGCCGCGTCCCACGCCCGGATCGTCTTGTCCTGGCTGCCGCTGAAGATGAGGTTCGTGCCGCCCCACTTGACGCAGGTCACGCTGGAGCGGTGGCCCGAGAGAACATGCTCCGTCTTGCCCGTGTTGGCGAGCCAGACGCGAATGGTGCAGTCCTTGCTCGCCGATGCGAGCCTCGGCGTGTCGTCCGTCCACAGGAAGTACGGCTGCCAAGCTGGGCGATTGTTAGTCTCGGGGAGAAAGAGAGAGAGAGAGAGAGTATGTGACGATAAAGGAGGTTGGTCCTCCCAAAACTTACCGATCTGCGTGATCCATTTCTGGTGGCCCGTCAGCGCACCGCCGCGCGCGACACCCTTCTCGGGATCCCATAACCTGATCGTCTTGTCCATGGAGCCGCTGGCAATGATCTTAGCGTCCGGACTCCACGCGACGCAGAGCGTCCAGCCCGTGTGGCCCGTCATCGTGTGCTGCGGCGTGCCCGTCTCCGTGTTCCATATGCGCACCGAGTTGTCGCCCGAGCCTGTCGCCAGCCGCGAGCTCGTGGCGGGACTGAACTGGGCCGCCAGGATGGCCTGGCCGTGGCCCGGTATCCTGTGCGCCATGCGGCTGACGGCCTGGACTTTGAAGACGGCCTGCGGCTCGGCCGTCAATGTGACCGTCGTCTCAAACGGGTTCGTGACGCCATGGCTGCGGAGGAGCTCGAGAAAATTGGCGGGCCACGTGTCGACGATGATCTCCGAGTTGGGAATGTTGATGCGGAAGCGGTAGGGCAGGTAATCTTCGCGGTCCTATGGTTCAGCAGCGCGTCAGCAAGCAAGCTACCAAGCGCAGTGGATTGCTGAAGCTCTCTTGTTCTCGGGGTTTCCCCTTCATACCTTGTCTAGTAGCGTGTTGACGAGAAGACTGAGGTTCTTCTCCGAGGCGTCGGCGAGGGGAACCTCAATGACCTCGGCGAGCTGTTTCCCGTCGCCGTCGACGAAGCGAGCCTTGAACGAGCCATCCTCGCCAGGCGCGACAGCCGTGACGTCTTGCTGGATCGTTGTTCGCTCGAGTTCTTCGCGCCTCTGGCGTTTCGAGGGCGGGGGTAGAATGGTGGCCATGTCGTGCGTTCAGGCTGGGTCCGTCTCGCGCAGTGGACTATCGCACTGTGACTTCTCCGTAGGATTCCGTGCTCTGACGGTCACTGAATGTTCTGTTGGCAATCTAGTGAGCCAGGATGGTCCGCTGTAGAAGAGGGGCTTGAGGAACGGTGAAGGCGCAAGTTGTCGATGCTATTTTTTGGTGGGGCACTCGAAATTTCAGAGGAGCAGCGGCATGTCGGCCATTACATGTCCGACATTTTTTTGCGCATACTGCCTGGCTATAAGCTAAGATAACGACAGCAGCACTAGACCCTACCTACCCATGCCTTGGGACAATTGACGCCCTGGACAATTCTGTGCCCATGAAAACGGTTATGAACAGACAGAATAAAAAACCTCCCTTTCCGATCGTATTGAGCTCCGAATTTCCCTGAAGACCGCAGAGTGACCATGGAACTCTTCCAGTCACCGCCAATGCTAAACGCCACCGTTTGTCCGTCCTGAGACTCCTTCTTCCTATTTCCTTCGCTCATACCCAATTCGTCATCCATCCGAGACGCAGCCTTCAAGACGCACCGTTCGGGTTTCCCTTGGAACCTCCTTTTGGCGGCCGTCCTCGTCGTTTGGTTGGTGCCGTGACGGGCGTGATGACCGCGCTCGTCTGCTGGGGCGTGCCTGCGTAGTGCCGGAAAATATTCTGCGCGATCGGCGCCGAATGCATCCCGAACTGAGGCACGGGAACGGGCGTCTGTTGGACGGGCGTCTGTTGCATTGGTGCCTGTTGGACCGGCGTTGCCATGTGCTGCTCCCTGTTCATCTGATTGATCTGTCGCCGTCGCTCCACCGCCTGTGCCTGTTCCTCCTCCTGCGTCTGTTGGAAGGGGTGCTTGGGAGCACCGCCCATTGGCGCGTACTGGGCCATGGGATGCTGCTGATGCTGTTGGTGGTGGTGCTGTTGCTGCTGATGGTGATGCACCTGTTGCTGAACCTGCTGTTGTACTTGGTGCTGCTGCTGCTGCGCGTGTTGTTGCTGTACCTGCTGTTGCTGCGCTTGCTGTTGCGCCTGCTGCTGTTGATGCGCCTGCTGCTGCGCCTGTTGATGCTGTTGTTGCTGCTGCTGCTGCTGCTGATGCTGCTGTACCTGGTGCTGCTGCTGATGTTGCTGCTGCTGGGATTGTTCAGCAACACGCCGTCGATTGCCCTCCTCGATTTCTTGGTGCTTTTTCTCTTGACGCGCCTGCCGTTCCTGTCGCTGAAGATCTTCGTTCTCGACGGCATAGATCGCAGCGATGCGCATTTGCATCTGCGCAAGGTTACCGATGCGTTCCGGCTTCGACATTCTGCGATATTCGCCCTTGAACTGGTGGAATGTCTCGCCCGTGAGGCGCATGGCCGACGAGGACACCCCCGCTACAGCCAGCGCCGCTTGTGTATCGGGGTCGAGGGTCGGCGCTTCAGGCTCTGCAGAATTCGCGTCAGCACGATCCAGAAAGTCGTGTCGATTCAAAAGAGACTACATACCTTCGTCAGGATTCACAATCTCGGCATCACCATCCGCGTCAGCCTCCTCCTCATCAGAAGGCGGCTCTGGCGTCCGGGGCTCATGGTTGTGTTGATCGCAAATCACTGTCAGGACCCAGGCGCCAAGCGTCTTTCGATTGACGGCTTTGGCCCGCCAGGGACAGTTGGTCTTCTTGGTCGTCGTCTTGAGCTGGGTCGCGGTGCACTTGTAGGGCTGGCCCCCACGGTCGCATACCAAGTCGCAGCGGACGACCTCGCTCCCCTTCTCGTAGTTTCCGGCGACCTTGTTCCTGTGCGTGCGCGACTTGACGACCTTGTAGCCGTCCTTCTGCATCGTCGCCTTGAGATCCTTGAAGAGGTCGTCAAAGGTGGGAAATGTTTGGCCGGAGCCTATGTCGACGGACCCCAGGATGCCGAACATGGTGGCGGGCAGACGCGCGTGTCTGCGTCAGAGACAGCGCCGACGGTTCGATGAAGTGGTCGGGTGACGAGCGCCTCGGGGCGCAATCGTATCGGTGTTCGACAAGTTCGACAACGACGCGACAGGCGTCTGATCCCAGCGCGTGATCGAGTGAAGCCAGGGCACCTCGGCCAGTGGGAAGCTGTGCGGATTGATGCAACAGCCTGTGCAGAAGTCTGTCTTGACCTGGGAGGACGAGAGTGGATATGGGGAGAAATGCCCGCCTGTGGATTGGCTGCTTGGTGGGGAGCCGCTGCGTCAGTTCACTCGAGTTGACTGCCTTGCTGAAAGTGGTTAGCGAACATGCATTCCACAACAGGCAAGGCCTCCTCGGCCTACCCTTGCCTCCTGGCAAGCTGGGAGGGTGTACGTCCCAACAACGACATCTGGCAAGGCAGGCACTGCAGCCACCAACACTCTCAGCTCAGAGCTCTTCCTCAGACATCGCACAGGTAAACCCGTGAGGTGGCTCTTGCTGTGAATATCTAGGTTAGCACATAATGCACGACGGAGAGGCAAGTGCCCCTCACTTAGTTACTGCAGTTGGATGCGACTGCCTACTCTGTAATCTTTCCCTCCGAAGCAAACCCGTAACCTGGCAGACATTCTTTCGATCGAGCACGTCGCTGCTGGCTGCCAATCCAGTGACTGGAGTAAATCATTCTAGAGCATTGAAGTCTTCTTGCTTCAAGACAGGCGTAGTTCCCAAGTTTATTCTGTTCCTGAACTTGTGATGCCTCCGTCGCAGCTCACTCAGAGATCCGTCCCGAAGAGGCAGCCAACAACCAGAATGGCGGCAGCATCTCGTGGCTTCGAGTCGTCTTCCTACTTCAATCCCAGCCCTACCAACGCAGCATCTAGCGAATCGAGAGGCAACTCTGCATCGAGTTTCAGCCGAATGCCTCTGTACGAAGACGATGCTCTTGGCCATTCTCCCTTGTGCGGTGAAGAGACACCTGCTTCACCCGACTCGCAGTGGACCTCCAATTCGACATCAATTCTGGCCCATCAGCGAGAGCAGGTTGGATCAGCATCCACGATCCGGGCCTCGAGTACCGTTTCCACTGTCCCGCACACTGCTTACACCAGTCGCCGATCCCAGACCCCCTTTCTCCGTGGGGACGAGGGCCGCCACGTCATATGCGCTGTTAGCGAGGCGCGAGGCATAACACCATCAGTCGGGGTGGCTTTCGTCAATATTGCTACTGGGGAGGCCATTCTCAGTCAAATCAGCGACAGTCAGTTCTACGTCAAGACCTTGCACAAACTCAACATGCTTGAGCCGTCGCACATTCTCATGGTTCCGTCCGCTTGCGCACCGAACCCATCATCCTACCTATACTATATGATTGAACAACACGTCGCTAGCGCGAAGATTGTCCCCTGGCATAGAAAGTTCTGGTCTGAGTCAGCCGGGTTGGAGTACATCAGTGAATATGCCTTTCAAGGAGATGCCGAAGCAATCCAGGTCGCCATTCAAGGAAATTTCTTCACAACTTGTGCTTTTTCTGCGGTCTGTATTTTGTTGAAGGCAAGTCTATGATTTCATCTGACAAATCCATAGGTCATGAAACATCTCGAGGTTGAGCTTTCGCTTAACATCGTGTCGCACACATTGCGTATCCGGTACGAACCGTCCGACCATACCATGATGATTGATGTATCCGCGATCCAGTCGCTCGAGCTTGTACAAAATCTCCGGAACTCAAGATCAAAGGACTCTCTCTATGGCCTACTCAACCAGACCCTTACGCCGATGGGTGCTCGGAAGCTCAAAAGTGACATATTACAACCAACCACCTTGGTGGAAGATGTTCTGAAATGGCGTTACGAAGCTGTAGCAGAGCTGACCTCATCGGAAGATATGTTCATTGGGGTGCGGAAAGGTATGCCATCCTTCCCTTTAATTAGAGATCCTAGGCTGAGCCTAGCAGCTTTGAAGGCGTTTCCGGACGTCGAGCGGCTACTCTCGAAGGCGAGTCATGATAAAGTTGCACATGAGCATTTGGTACTCATTCTGTCCAGTTGGTCATCATCCCGCAGAGACCATCGACCGAGGCATCGGAGTTCGCGTTGAACCAAATCATTATGATCAAAGCGTTCCTAGCATCTGTTCCCAACATATACCAGGCACTTGGCCCTGCCCAGTGCCATTTGCTTGTCAAAATCCGTGAACTTTGTCGACCAGAGATGACACAACAGGTTCAGGACCTCATATCAGAGGCCATCAACGCCGACGTGACCTTGATGAAGTCGCCTTTGGAGATGCGTAATGCCCGAATGTTTGCTGTCAAGGGTTTTACGATCCGCCGCGTCACCCGGACTTAGTGATTCTAACGAGGCCTCAGTCAGGTTATAATGGTCTGCTCGATGTCGCAAGACAGACATACAAAGAGTGTACCGAGGATGTTCACAGATACGTTACTGACTTGAATAGTATGTCCCCTCCACTAAAACCCGAAATATCCTGACTTTGTACAGGAACCTTTGAACTAGATGCCCAAGCTTCAAGTATGACACCACGCGGAGATACTGGCTCCAGCTCAGAGCAGCATATTTTCAAAACCGCGCCATTCCGGATATTTTGTTCAACCGGGTCATCAAAAAGGGCCACATCGAATGGTCTGACTCTCCAAATGAGAAGTTCGATTTCCGCATTGCAGACTCCGTGACAGAAGCCATGGGAATGGGAGACAGGTGGTTCAAGAAATGCTCGACTCCATTCGAACTCAAATTGAACCAATGTTTCGAGTCTGTGACGCCATTGCGCTGCTTAATATGCTGGTATCATTTGCGCAGATTGCAATACAGAGAGACTACGTACGGCCTGTCATCAGTAACACTTTGGGACTGAAGGCGGCACGACATCCAATTCTGGACAAGGTGGGCTTGGTCTCCCAATTTTGCTTTCGTCGCCATTCCTACTGTTGACGATCGTCCTAGACCCTTGATAATGAGTTCGTCCCGAACGACGTGTTTTCGAAACAAGAGTACCGTTTCCAAATTATTACAGGCTGCAACATGAGCGGCAAGAGTACTTATATTCGCATGATTGCATTACTGCAGGTGATGGCCCAAATCGGCTGCTTTGTCCCTGCGCGTTATGCATCGTTCCGCATCATCCATCATGTCTTTGCACGTCTTTCCACCGACGATTCTATCGAGGGGAATCTTTCCACATTTTCGTGCGAGATGCGAGAGATGGCTTTCATCCTCAGGTGACCGCAATGCGACGGAAGCCATGAAGCGCGGCTAACAGCTTTACAGGAACGTCGAAATGAACAGCATGGTCATCATTGACGAGCTTGGACGTGGCACAAGCACGCGTGACGGACTGTCCATTGCACTTGCTATGGCGGAGGCATTGATGCGAAGCCGAGCCTCGGTTTGGTTTGTGACACATTACGACAAGCTGGGTAAACTTTCTTTGCATACAACATATGCCTTTCCTCAATCGCTGACGTGAACATCGTTGTAGCTGAAGTGCTTGGCAATCGCTTCGGAGTAATCAACCTTCATCTTGCCACGAGTACATCGATGACACCTCACGAAACCCCGAAGATGACAATGCTCTACACGTTGAGCTCAGGAAGGGTCCTTGACGAGCATTATGGCATCCTACTAGCCAAAGCTATGGGATTCCCAGAAGACTTCTTGCAAGAGGCGGAGAGAGTCTCCAGAAGTTTAAAGCAACAGCGCGAAGCCAAGAAGCAAAGCCCGGAGGCTCACAGAAGAATCAGTCGGCAGAAACTCATCTTGAACCTCCACGAACAACTCAAGCAGGCCTATGCATCGCAGTTGGATGAAGAAGCACTGGCCCTTCACCTAGAAAAGCTACAGGAGGAGTTCATAGCCCGGATTGAAGCTATAGAAGGTGACAGTGATACCGAGTCGGGTCCACATACTCTTTCGCCAATACAGACAGAAACATCCGAGCCGTTGATGTTCGGAGACACGATTGCAACGACACAAGAGGAATTTGGGATGGTTGACCTATCCAATAATGTCAGTGATACAGGAACGAATGACATGCCTGCTTCGCCGTTATGGAGTGACATTTTTGAGTCTGATGAGGTTGATGGATCATCCCGAGTGATGGACGTGGATGAATGATATGCTGGAGAGTAATGGGACTTCTCGAATCGAGTTTTGCTGGGAAGCATATTGAAGGGTTCGAGGTGCTGTTTTCCTCTGTGCACTGAGGCTGCGAGACGGAGTCAAGGTCTGGGAGTATCTCGAATAACCTTGAAATGTCATTTAGCGTTATTCTACACTCAAATTGACGAAACATCCGCTGCCTACGAAAACGATGGTGTGTATGGTCATAATGAGTCTCTGGTTCAAAGCAACGACTTGGGCGCATCCCAATATTTCCCTTCTCCAAATCCGATCTCGGCATCCTCCATTTTGACGCCGAGATGCCAACGCCAGAAGCCAGGCCAGAAGTTCTCATGCTCCCCAACTACATTCCCCTGCTCGTCGGTCTGGCGGAGGTCAAACCATCCAACGCTCGACCTGCGCGAGGACTGATCCGGCGCAACGTCGCACCAGCGATCGGTGCCTGGCAACTCGCCGTGGCTACCCCTAACAAGAGGGGCAGGGGTGGGTTGGGCGAGAGTTGCGTCGACGCCCGAGATGCTTGAAAAAGAAGACATTGAGATGGGGAAGCTAGGGACGAAGGGGGTAGGGCCGGAACGTTGTCTGAAAGAAAGGGGTCTTGCTGGGTGACGCTTCCGCGGCGGACACCGGCTCGGTGTCGTGCGGGTAGACCTTGATGGTGGTGCTGCCGTCTTGATGGTCCTGCCAGTCAAAGGCGGCGAGGTGCTTGGGAATGTTCCAGTCTGCGGCGGCCAGGTTTTAGTCGAGAGGTGCGGGTACACGCGATGGCGGTTAGCAGCACAGGTGAGGGTGAGCACTGACTCTTTCTTCCGTTCCAGCAGGTCTGGCGCTGGGAGACGTAGATGCGGGTGATGCGGGCGTTGCGCTTCTTGACGCGCTTGCCGGCCTCCTCGACGGTGTACTCATGGAAGCCGGGGCTCAGGATGAGCTCGTCGTAGGGGCCGACGGGCGACTCGGTGTAGCGGATGAGCTGGATCATGCTGAGGCCGCCGAGGTGGCGGCTGCCCTCTGGGGTTGCGTAGCCCGCAGAGGCCTCGAGGGGGGAGTACGCGAAGGATGGAGGGTTGGCGGCTTGGGACTTAGTGGTCCAGAATGCGAAGAGATAGACTGTGCCCTTGAGAGTCCAGGGTGGAGGGACGAGGGTGTACCCATCGGCGTCGCCCATGTTGAAATGATCTGCTGTGTTGCAATGGCAATGGGGTGTCGTTTGGGCGTCCTGGTACAAGAAGATGATGGTCTTGGTGAAGATGATGCCAGTGAGACGAGCCTCGTCGTCGAGTGAGCTTGGTGTCACACACGGGCCGAGCCAGTCATCAACGGCGCCTGCAATGGACTGCTGTTGAGGGTGGACCCCATGTTACGGCCTCGGTCCTGACCTGGCGATCCATGTCCCCGCGATCTGCTTGCCAGAAGGGGAAAGCGGGGGCGAGACTGTGCTGTCAGATATTCAAGCATATGAAGAAAGTACGAAAATCAATTGCTTCAATGAAGGACGTGGACTTTGTGGATTGTTCTGTTATTGCCTGGGTTTCTACGTCTGTCGATGTGCACCTGCAGTCGAGGCGCATGTATTGGGAGCAAGACCTGGAGGGGAAACAAACGCAGATGCCGGATCAGTAGCATTGGCTTACACCATGGCATTTCTCTGTCTGGTGGTCGACAAGACTGACTTGGGCAAAGTTCACTATCGATACTTCGAGGCTCATTGTACGAACCGACCATGTCAGCCTCATGTGAAGCCATCGTGGATGATGATTGTGAATGAATCAAAAGAAAGAGCAACCCAGAGGATGTGAGTCGGAGGCACAGCACAGTAGCACCCTCTGACAGCAGGCGTGCAGGCTTGCCAGGGTACTGGGCTCCTGCTGCATAGTGGGGCCCCACCTGCCGCTGCTCCACCGCACTGGTCCCACGCTGGCAACTGCAACGGGCTCATTGCGGGGAAGGGCGAAGGGCAGGGGCTGTGCTCTTCGACAGGTCATCGACTGCCATGTGTGTGTGGGGGTGGGGGTGGTGGCCATC